TTATACACATAATATAGGTGGACTTTGTACAATGCATAATAATAATAATAATAATGATAATAATTAATAACATGATATTATATATATATATTACTATACGTCGTATGGGCATTGTGTTACCGTTATTATTGTGTAGTTGGGAAAGGTTGTTTGTACAGATCTCGAACGACGATCGACGATACGCGTATATATGCAGATAATAATAACAATAATAATGTTGTACCCATAGTCTTGCCGACATTGCCCCATGGAAACGGCGGTTTTCGGTTTTGTGTGTCAATGTTATACACGTAGCGCGAAAGAGCGCACGGCAATTTCACGGCAAATCGTTTTCGACAACGATGACGATAATGACTGAGATATAATGTCACACGCGACGGATAAAACGCTGCACTCGTACGTATTATTATGTTACAGGTACCTAGGTAAGAACAGTATACCGCGACCGCAGGCGATCTCCGCCACCGCGTAATATTTCGATAAATAATAATAAAATGTCACGCGTCGTATTACCGATCTACCATCATATTGTATATTATTGAATTCAAGTCCGTTTCCGAAAGAATTCGTACGCACACTTACATAATACTACACACACCTATATAATATGTAAATATCACAATATTATATTATACTTTTGTTTCGGCGAAAGTGACCCTAAAAAACTACAGTGCACCGCGTAAAACACTCGAGCGTTAAATTTAAATTTCATATTTTTATGCGTCTTCGGAGTATCCGGACGAAGGATTAAAAATATTTTTATATTATATAATAGGTTCATATATAAATATTTAACGAGTCGTGTCCGACGAGCTAATGGACTTTTATATCCGATCAATATTATTACTACACCTATACACGATTGCGGAATTATCCAGATATATTTTTTAACTCTCCGCGTTTTTAACGACAAAGTGCGGGCAGTGTATAAAATAAAAATCACGAATATGGTTTGCGTGTGCGCACGCGTATAAATACTCGTTATTGATGTACGAATAATCACGCTCGGTATTTTCTACTTTCGTTTTTGGCGACAAACAAATCGTTAACGACACGTTTTCGATTCGATTTACTGCGCTGCCGCTGCAATGTATAATAATAATAATAATGTACATTATATTATTATGTATAGGAAGCGTAAGACGGGAAACGCGTACTGTTACGTGACCAGTTTTCTACAAGACAGCGCTGAATATCGCGTTTTTGACGATTTTCACGTTGAGTATCACTGCAGCAGACGACGTGTTTTATTTCATATTTATATATATATAACGAGACGAGAGTTTAGCGTTGTTGTTTACCGTTTATGGCGATATTGTCTAAAACCCTCTGAATAAAAAAAAAAAAAATGTATAATGATATTATAATACATTACATAATATTATAATTTATAAGTAAAAAAATGGTTGGTAACCACTTGTTTTGAGCCTCCCACTCTGGCTCATACGGATCGGATAAACCTTTTCAATGTTCCGTTTTCGTCATTATCGTCGTTCCACGAATGATTATGATATTTTTATAAATAACTACCCTAATTTATGCGTACATAATAATATAATTTCGGACGTATATTATTGTCGTCGTCTTCGTCACGGTGTCAGACTGAAAACGATCGTCTCGTAACATAATCCTATTATATTATTGTTCAAATAACGCTCAATGATAACATATGCACAGCCCGCGACCGATGATTTTTATCGCTTTACACCTCGTCTAGACGACCCCGAAATGTGTTTTGCTCCCATTTCTATCTGCCCGACGAGAACACAACAATGACGAGCCGCATACGCTTAAGCTGTGTTATATTTTTAACGACGTCTCAATGGTTTGCAGTACAGGCCCGTGCAACGTTTAAGTCACCCACACAACAAAATAATTTGTGTGCACATACATTATTATTAAGTATGTGTTTATTGCGTTATACTGTACGATTTTTAAACACGGCGTGTCTGTGATTCGATTTCACGCACACGAATAGTATTATAACAACCGCGTGAAATCTTCGGGCTGCCATATATTTTGCGATATGGATTCCCAGGGGGCAGACGCGAAACTGGCGATGCGCTTCGCCGGACGCACGCTCGCCCGCGATTCTTGAACGACCGATTCTCGGCGTCGTGTACCTCGCACATACCTCATATAATGCCATAATATACCTATAACGTGTTCACACGGTGAAGACCGATAGAAAATCGATAGTCGTACATGGATTAGACAAATAGGACTGTAAGGCCGAACGAGGAGTACAATTTTTCAAGAATATTAAGATAATATCTTTATTTTTATGCCAGAAACATATATTATACACAGTTATCCGCGTGGCATATGATGCACACGCCGGCACTGCTCCTCTGTACGATATATTATAACAGGCAATCGAACGGTATATAATATAAAATACATCCTCCCACGATTAATGTCAAATTGTTAAGTCGGTCAGCTTTTCGAAATTCTCTCAATCGCCCTGTATAACATATATTGTACATAACTTCATGCACTGCTGTCGTATATAGTTATAAACTATAAGTGTGTTTGGGTGAGCTTTTAGAAACATACCTTTATATGTACTTAGTGAAAGGGTCGAAATTGTTACGGGCTTAAAACGAGTATCAAATATGATAATACGATTTCGGCAACCCAGCGTATAGTATAATTTAATAAATACCATTTGATATGGGTATAATAGTACCACTTTTTTGTCTCATTTGTAACATAACAAGGGTGTGTTTTTATTCGGAAGAAATATAATTGTATCAAATAAAAGTATACTTTTCTAACCTATACGGGTAAAGTTTAATTTATTTTTCTTAGTTTTAAATTAATGGCGATCGGAGCCATTATACACATATAATATCGACACGCCGATATACGTGGACTGTATAGAGTGTACACTGTACAATAATAATAATAATAATATTCCTATATATTGGCAATACGAATCCGATAGTTCTATAAGTACTCGTTTTGTTCGTATTTCTCTCGCCTTATCGTCGCTTAGTTTTGATCGTCGTCCATTTATCACGGGCGCCGCAGACATTTTACGCGTGGGAGCAGCCTTTTATTAAAAATTGTAGGTATACACGTCCGTCCCAGTGACACCTATATACGTACGTCGTACACACATATACCTATATATTATTATATATTATATTGTCGTCGATACGGCATTGTAATATGTATATAAATGTAATATACCTCCGCGCCGGTCGTTACAGGTCGGTATACACCCCGGTCGGTCGTTGTTAACAAGATCGCGGTAACGCCTCTGACACCCGCGGTCCACATGCATAATAATATGTATACTTATCGCGTCCGCGGCGCCATAAATATTACCGTATAATAATAACACAAAACGAGAAAAAATATAAAAAGGCTAAGTAAAAAACGGACACGAGCGAAAATCGTTACGCATAAATTTACGTCGGATCCCGTCGATTTTTACACAACTCACTGGCCCCGCAATGCCTACGCGCTCTACTTGCCACTCGTACGACGACGACCGATGCTAATAATAAACATTTATATATTTATGTACATTGTACGATTATATTATGCGGATTGCAATGTGCAGCGTGCGGATGCAATAATAGTGCACGGGTCATATTATTATATGTTATTACTTATTATATTGTGTGTATCGCGTATAATATATTATTATAAGGTGCAGGCTGCAGATAAATATATATAAGTAGGTAGTTGGGTACGCAGGACTTGCCACGCGGTGTGGGTATGCACTAGGCAGTTACAGTATTACAGTACTGAAATGACGACAACTACGCGATTGTTACATATTGCAATACTCGTAACACCAGTATTACCTGTATCTATGATAGTTTTCCAAAATCCAACAAAAACTGCAGTTTCCTCACCAAATAACAATGGTTAAATGAAAACGATCATTATAGGATGAGGCGATTTTAATTGCAACTCTCCCTAAGTCGGTACATCACAAAAAAATGGCATTTTTATAAACGAACATTTATTTATATTATATCTCCTAATTTCCACAGACAATAATGTTTGTTTTTGTACGATACCATACACCTCATATGCACCACAATAACTGTTATAATGTACTATTTTAGAATGAACAAATTTAAATAGTATAGATTAGTGTACATTTACACAATATTAAATTTAAATAACAAAAAAATAACGAAGAATCGCAGAAAATATTTTTACTCGAAATTTGATAATAGCTAGGTAAATTCTCTCTGATATTTAAACTGCTGAACCTGAACGTACATTTGATATTATGCACTCTTGTTGTTGAGATGGAGACTGAAAATGCAATTGGTGTGGCGTTTTCCTACAATCATGAAATCAATAACACAGAAACATTTTAGATTCATTTATTCTGTTTCTGTGTATTATAGTAAATGTGTACTAATAAGTATCAAGGTGTTGAGGGTTACTCAAATAAAAGTATCGGCCATCTCTAATAAGTAATTAAATATATTATAATGATGGACCGCAACACTGCAATTATAATTTATCATTTCCTGGTTCGATGAATCCTATAGCTCCTCGGGCAGTCCATCATCGTATAATAAAATTGAATGATCGTAAAATATATGATATTGTTATATTATTCCGGTATAGCGAATAACCATATTATATTATGTGTGTTACTTTGCATGACCTTTAGAAGAAAACACGTTTCAATCGATTTCTGGCGGAATGGATTTATCACGCTCGGGCGATAGCCACTGTAACTGCTCATAAATTATTTTATAAAATATCACTGTAACTCCGTAATAAAAGGTTTCTTTTTTTACTTTTATGGTGTATTATTTAAAGCTTCTAAAAATATTTAATAGGTACATTAAAATAATAATTGAAACTTCAAAAGTTGAAAATCAATGATAAAAATGTCTTGCTACAGACATTCGTTTAAACATAGACATGTTCACAGAACTGAAAATAATATAAACTTAATACTATAATGCGTGATATGATAATATTATTTTGTGGTTTTACAATTTTGTTTTTGTTTACAGGTGTTGATCGTACTGTGCGTCGTCTTGTGCCACCTGATGATCGCATCAGCTCAATTCGAGTTCAGCGACTTCCTGTCCAATGTCGAACAACAGTCTGGCAACCGAGACCCTAGAGAAAACCGAGGTGAGTCTTAAAGATGATAATAAAGGTGTACGAAATTAACTTAACGATTTTTTTTGCCCCATTTTCCCTTCTTCTGGGAAAATATTACAGGTCCAGTTCTATTCCCTGTCACCCAACCTGGTTCCGAAACCAGCGGCGTGGTTGTGGGAGCTTCAGGATTCGGATTCGTGCCCCCCGGTGGAAACAACAAACGTAAGTGTTTTCATTAATTTTAATGTTGAATTGGCACCTATGATATTAATATATACTCACTACGAGTGGCTCATTGGCGTGTTGGCTTTTCGATATTAATCGCGTTTTAGTGAAATTGTCCAAATTTATTTGAAAACGCGTCCATCGTCTGGAAACCAGGCTACTCACACGCACACATTATAATGATATACCTATGTCTATGTGTTGGGTACATATGGCAAATTTTCGTTTACGCAATAATGACGTATGTCGTCATTGCGAATAGTTGAGCAATTTTTTTTCCGATCTATTCCAATATCGTTGTGAAAACCCGTGCGTTTTTGAATGGAAAGGACTTTCTCGATAGTTTATTCCGACCGTTATATATTTTCGCACTGTACCGTTGTAATATGTCGATAAAAATATGCCACTGCTCGTGCGTATGGACTTTGGCCATAGAATAGTCACATTTCAGGCGAATGGATTATGCAGGGTTGGATTCCGTCCAACGCCCGAAGATTGTGCGTCAAAGTCCAATAAGGATCTGTAATTAAATCGGTTCGTCCTTATTCGACGGTTACGTGACGACAGTCATCACAAGTTCACAACCTCTAAAATCGCTTTCGGAAAGTTGGCCGCCGGAAAATTCGGTACGCATTCTCCGAATATATGGCGAATAGCTGACCCGCAAGCGCATATATTGCCGATACGTCGCGCCCAATTATGTATTATATATACTTTGGCGATGTTGTTTTCAACGGTTTTTGGGTCACAAACGGTCATCGCCGACGTTTACGGTTATTACTATACACATTAGATAGAATACGGTCTGCTGTGGCCCATATAAATCGCATATATATTAGTGGCGAACTGCTGGCTAGAGGATTATTAGTGTTAGCGAATTGTTCGGATAGTTTCCACAGTACAGCACTACGGCACATTATTATGCGTGTAATATAATAATATATATATATATATATATATATAGTTCACTTTACGATGACTGTTGTGCGCTCTATTGACTCCGCCGGGGACGACGGGGGTAGTTGGTAATTATATATTATATGCGCTTGAGGGATGCGGGCAGGAATGCTGCAGCGGTACAACAGCACACAGAAAGCTTTCGGTAGCCGCCGGTGTTTAAGGGTGCGCGGAGGTATCGTCGTGGGGGTGGGGAACAGGCCCGTGACGAGAGGTTAATTTGGATGAGAGACCCGAACTCAAAGGGCGCGATCGCAGCAATAATACGTCCGACCGCAGAAACTGCTGCCAGGAGTGTAAGGCGCATATACATGTATATATTATACAGTGGCAGCCGATATAAGTCGTCTTTTGCGGATGTTATTGAATGTGTATAAGGCGAACGGTCTCGGACAGGGCGCGCGCGGATCCCGCGTCCACCCTTCGCCGGAAACAACCCCTTTGTGAAACGCTCGGAGAGGGCAGCGGGAGACACGATAGACGCCCGCTAATGAAGACGGCCGAGCCGCGAGATGCTGCAGCTCTGAAGTTACATATTATTATTATTATTATTACGAGTATACGCGTATATAGGACGCGGCGAGAGGAGCCAGTTCGGGCCGGATATTAGTGTTCGGGGTACGAATTCTGCCGGGACACTTCAAAGCCGAATATTATCATTATTATTATTACTGTGATACGATGCCCCCGTGAAACTATACTCGAGAGTTTCGGCGGCCGAATTATAATGCGTATAATGATTACGAGTTACGACGCGATACTGTATTATATTCCTACTATAATATAACGATTTTTCACTCGACCACCCGCGTAACGATAATATATATATATATATATATATATATATATATGTATAGCTGTAGCACTTGAATAATATTAAACTAAGTAGGTATGCGGAAGGCCGAGTTTTGGTTGTTTTATGGATTTTCGTACCTACCATATCTATTATTGTCGGTCTACTCAGTCCTCAGAGACGTTAGTCCGGCCGACGATACATAATAATACAGTACAAATATTAATAATTATAATAATTACATTATGCCCAGTAGAACCACAATACAAAGTTTTTTGTTTTGCAGAACCACAAGGCCAAAACATCTTCAGCTTCTGGTGATGATGACGAGATCCGATAACGAAACACACTGCAAGTCGATTGAATTTCCTAAGCGTTTCGCCCGGCAACGGATAGCAAATATATACTTGTCAATGCGAGATCTCTACAATGTAATATTAATAACACAAATTAAGAGTAATAATAATTATATACTATTCACACTACATATTATACATTATATCTGTACACATCGACGTACACCGATGAATTCATAAATAATACAATATAGGTATACAGACGTATAGCATAATATTATACACGTATACGTATATACACGAGCGGCAATAATATCGTGCGCACGATTTTATATACAACATCATATATATATGCACGCCTTGTAAACGTATTATTTGTATTTGTACAGGTATATAATATTATATAGGTATACTTTAGAGTTTTCTTAATTTATTTCATTACACATTGTACATAATTTACAAGTCTCTTATGTCTAATAATTTATTTCATAGCGTGCGTATACGTATTATTATTACAGCCGTCTTAGGTTAGTTACCGATTATTATTAAACATATATAATATTTATATAAAGATTTATCATATTATTATTGTATTTTATAAAGATATTGTAATTTTAAGTGCAAGACAATAGGTGTTTATTTGTGGTTACCGTAATTACGCGTATCCGTCTATATAGTATAAATACCTATAATTATTGTACAATTTTGTTGTATGCATACAACGAAAACAAAAAAAAAACGTAAAACAACGAAACATGATTTTATTGCAATAAAATGACTACTATATATTATTATTAATGTTGTTCAAAAATTTGTGAGTTTATTCAAACCATTTCCTTTTATCGTACATCTAGGTAACCTATTGGTTACCACTTTATATGTTCCTAGGTATACAGCTTATTTTATGCTACATTATATAGTTTATAATAATGCCACATGGCAATATAGCATATTATATTATATCAAGAGATGATATCCTAAAATGTTAATGTTTAACTATTTTATGGGTATACTAGTACTCAGTGCTATAGCTATTACGTATATAGCGACACTGCTGCGGTAATTATAGGTCATCGCTGTTATCAACGTGTTGATTCACTTGATTCAACATTTTGACGATCGACAAGCTCGCAGAGGAGAATAGGCGAAATTATACAATCGGCAATACATAGTACCACAGTGGACCTTACGTAACGTTTAGGTATGCTTTATTATTATGTATAATTTTAGTTTTGAAAATCTTGGTATTCGATAGACTTGTTGTTGGTATAATCTATCAACGAACAATTATATTAAAAGTCATTAGGTCATTAGGATATTAAAGGTTATAAAAGTCCCACTATCCTCAACTGCTGCAGTAGGTACAATTCTCATCCAATTATTTTTAACTTCCACTGCATATCACATCACCGAGTTGAATTCTAGTTTTGACTATAAGTAAATTAAAATTGCTGCAGACCGCAGAGAATAATAATATTACAAAAATCGCATAAATAATTCAACTTGTATGCCCACTTGGTGTACGCGATTACGTGCGCGCACGCCGGCAACGGTAATCGAATTCAGTTTTGACATGAGAAAACAAGTAAAAAAAAAAACCCGGAACGGGCAGAAAAAAAATCGTTATCATAATACCTGCAATATAATGTGTATGTATGGAGACGTACAGCCCATTACAGGACAGCGAACTTATTACTATTATACAACACTGCGAATCAACAGCGAAAATGTGATTTCCGACGTTCGTCGTAGTGACGTAGTCATCGATGACAGCAACAGTGGATCAACTTTTTTATTATTGGAGAGAGGGTCGGTGTAAAAAACCTGATTTATGTACAAAATAATGACGTTATAAGGTAGGTAAAAGGTGATGTATGTATGTAAAAAAAAATTTTAATCAAAGCTCGAGTCCCTGAAATTGAGAGGCCTATATGTTTATGGAGTTACATATAGGTTATATAAATTCCATAATAATATGTGATCTATGGTTTGTTGAGTAACTAATAAATAATAAACGCATTTATAATAAAATATTTTATGTTTAATAAACGCTAATGACAGCAATACGACTAACTATCATATTGTGTTGTACTTTGCATGGTGAATATTTTTGAACTATTATAATATTAGCTGAAACTACAGTAATTATATCGTGTTTGATTATCATCGTGTGGACCCGACTTTAAAGTATAGTTGACCATCACCTATATATCAAATGCGTATATTATACCTAACCCCAATAAAAATTCCATTCAAATTGAATTCATCAATATTCATAGTTTTTTTAGTACATATTATTCGTATTAATATTTAGTAATTACTACCATAACCCTTTCATTTTCATCAACAACATGTATACTTATATTGGTTTAAAAAAACATTTATATTTAATATTTAAACATGTTAGGATAGCTCACTCTGGAAGCGTTCTAAATTCCCGGATTTTAATTATATTTTAATACGCCGCACTAACTTATTATGATTGTATTTTATACAATTTGAAAATAATTTTGTATCATATGTATCAGGTATGTAACTACGGACAACACATAAATATCATAATATCAACAATATTGTAACTATTTATTGGTAAATAAAGGACGGGCGGACGAACACGGTAAGGTTAAGTGTTCTAAACTTATCTTCAGATACCTAAAACTACATCATAATTAAATTGATTTTACTCTTTGACACTTGACCCAAGGGGAATGGATGATCGCTCCATCGTATCCACGATTGACCATTGACCAGTGGACTTATTCCGTTTCGTTGACAATATATTTAGATATAATTTTTTGGACAAAAGAAGTATCGTGTACACGGTGGGTGAATAGTTGATATAGCGAAACACAATAACCAACTATGAAATACGTTTAATGTTGATTAACGCATACAACGGTTTTTGAACCCGAAAATTTCTGATATTGTCTCACAGATATTTTATCAACACGGAATAGCGAGAAATCAATCTTTGAATAGGTAGGTTCGCAAATTAATAGTATGCGAAGCGCCGCTCTCGAAAAATATCGCTTATAATCGTACTTACGAGTTACATGTTATTTCTGTGATTTTTGGTAGGTTTTTTTTTAAATTATACGTAGGTACCACTCGAAATACGTGAAGGAGAACTACTGTGAGTTTTTTTAAATGTTTTTGGTGCTTATATAGTGATAGCGTAATACCATTCGCTACATGTAGAATTGACATGTGCAATCAAATTGTCTTCGAAAACATCTCCTAAACGCAAAATCTCTCAGGTTGTATCGAGCGTGCACACTTAGACCTAATAGTTAAGTATAAATAAATGTGCAACATTTTTTAGGAAGAACGAGCATTGAACGTTATACGGTTGTTATGGTACGATTAAACACAGGTTAATTAAATCAAAAAATGTTTGTTAGCGGTTGTCATACTTTTTATTTATTTTTTATCTAAGTTTAACTGTTCAATCAAAAATTGTAATAATAATAATACTTTTATTTTATTCGAATTGTGTGCAATGAATACTGCCTACTGGGCCTCACAATATCATATTACGATAACAACAAAAGTAACTTGACATATTATTATGATAAAGGAGCTGGTAATTCGATTAGAGATATTTTTTCGGGTCGACGATGAGCGTTTACTCGTGTTGTACAATACATAACAATATAATATTGATTATTGTGTGCAGACTCGCGAATAGTGCTGCAGCATCGGCGCTATTCCCTCGTCTTTTCGAACTGACGATGGTGACCGTTATCGACACATAATTCGATCTAGCTGGTTATTAACTTATTGCCGAGGAACGCCACGCAGTCTACAACGACTATATATTTTGTCGTGTGCACCGTGACCGGCCTTTGAAACCCGGTCGTTTCCTATATATATATATATATATAGTCACAGGTCTAAATGCAGGTCATCTGTGCCACAGTCGTATTAGATGACCTGCAGCGTTTGACCGCAGCGATAACCCAATCGAGCTGGACAATACTCTCCCCTGCAATACGGCATAGAGTGTTCGCAATATTCTCTGTATAATAATAATAAGCATCAAATGCATAGTAGTAGGTATCATCAGTCGATAGAAGCCCCTGCAGGCCTTAAATGGTGCATATACATGTTCCCACTATATGTATATAAGTGTGTGTGTGTATGTTGTATGTATGTGCCTGTGTATGTGCCGGCAGAGTTCACAGGATAAGTAATTGCGGGCCGAGCGTGTTTCTACGAAATATAATATAGTGAGTCATGTATATTATTTAATTCAATAGAACAATTAGCGAGGTACTGTGTATTATAATATGATAATTTATATACCTCGGCCTGGTACTTATGTATTATTCACCAGCTGCAGTAGTAAGTCTACAATAGTAATATGGACGTTATTACTTATGCAGGTCAGCCTCCGAAACGTTCGAGTGCAACATTATCATGTTAGATAATAGTATTTACCTACCTGCAGTGGTCACAAAATGGGCGGCCCAATTGGCTAACCGTAGAGGAACTTTATCTGGCTTGCAGACACGAAATTTATTTTCAAAATCATATTTTGATATTGAATTACATTTGGTTTTTATCAATCTTAATTACATTTTTTGATTTTACACCTGTATTGTTCATAGTAAAAGTGGTCGTCCGAAAATAAACTAGTAATTACGGATTTATACCAAATGATTCGGCTGTATAATAACGTCATCAACAGTGCAACTTAGGTGAGTTTTGATTTGTTTTTAATATTCTATTACGCATCATTGATTACGCGTCTAACCGTTACACCACGATGTCGTCACAGCGCATCACACAATCAGAAGTATCCAAACTCCGACAATAGCTAAAAAGTGTACAGCGAGAACGATCAAAAAATATTATTACGTACTTGGCAAATTAAATAAAATATTGAAAACTTCAAAGGTTTTTTAAGAAGCCTTCATATTCGTATAGTCTTTGATTGAATTGTAAACATATTTTACGGAGTGAATTTATTTTCGAAATCGAGTTTTTGAACGCATGACCCAATACCTACATAGTTTTTGAACGTATTATGGAATTTGAATAAAAAAAAAGTCACACTCCCGAATTTAATATAATGATGCTGCACACGTATAGCCTACTCGCGCCAAACACAATAATATTATAAAGCTCGTAGAATCGAATTTCGTTTTTTTTTTTTCATCATAATATGCCTACATATAAATATATACATATGGCCATATATAATTTAATATGTATAGAAAAATCGGCTATCGGCCCGAA